GCCAAGTCACGTGATCAGCGCCCCGCGTTGATCATTACCTTCTGACGTGGACGTCCATAGGCTCTCAGCCATCTCGTCATTTGTCAAGGAGAGAATCCTTCTTGTTACTTGTAACACAGTGCTCGTGTCGACCAATCAGTGTCGCGGATCAGTAGGACTCAAAGTCGAGTCCTAATTGATTCCAACAGCATCCGTAGTATAAGTAAAGTTATTCTTACGTCTATCATCTATGTGTAAACCTCTATAAATACATATTCAGACTATATTTTGCTTGATTATTCTTTTTCTAGAGATTTAGAGATCTAAAGAAAAGCTAACCAGTTGGGCAAAACACAATTGCAGACTTGGTGCAATTCCGGCTAACACACTGCTCTATATGAATTGATCACACTACTAAACTCTTATTCTCTCCATCGTAATCTCCTAATCAGTCTACCTAGACCTATAACCCATCCCTATTCCTCCACTCTTCTCTCACCAACGTCGTTAGAACCTTCACTTGCACTACCACTTCCCACCGCAAGAATTACTAGACCCGCGGCGTTATTTCTACTAATCAGTTGATTAATCAGTTTAAAGTCTATATAAACCTTCTATAGGGCGTATATACCAGCAAATGATAGAGCTTACAGGCGCCTAGAATACCTAGTTAAGAGCGATTATCTCAAGGGTCACAAGCCTCGTAGATATTTCCTTCTACTAGTCAAGCAGCCTTGTCACACCATTGTATTACATACGAACGTACTGGCTTCATTGATTTTTTATATATATCTCTCTCTCCTCTAACGGGTTCACGCTTCTCTCTTGATCCTATACGAAATAAGTTGAAACTTTTTAAAGAAAACATTATAAATTTGAATGATAAGTAGAAACCATCTTGTCTCAATAATAGAGAGAGGGGAGAGAGAGAGAGAGAGCTCGTAGTAAGGCTACACGAAAAGTGCTATAATAGCTTCTAAGCCTTCACCAACTATTGATATCTGTCGGGCCTTCAACCTACCAGGTGCGTTTCCCACACCACCAAGCCACCGTCGTTCCTGCCGAAATACGACTGTACAAACGGAACCTATATACCTCCTGTTATGTAAGACCAGCGGTGCAAGATATGCAATGCAATTAGAGTGGTTTAAGCTAGATGAAGGGGTGTATGTGGAGCGTGTGGCATAGGGGTTGAGAAAGTGAGCGGATATTTGGCCTGGTATCTCCCTTAACATACAAGCAGACTATTCTTGTAGATAACTGTTATTCGAGATTCTGCTTTATAACCTACGTAAACATATAATTTTCGATCTTACTGCTACCACCAATACTCATGGACTGCTCACGAAGCCACTACCGCCAGCCCAATACTGTAGGAAGAGAGAATTTGGGATAGCATGGATACAGAGCCGTAGTTAGAGGAGCATTGTGAGGGATGTGACTTTACTTGCTTGTGTATGTTTAGCGCATGTCGTATCTGATCTTTTTGTCAGTAAAAATGGCAGGCCACGCCTCAACCTACCGGAAGCGGGTATCAAAAACATGACTTCGTAGTTAGGGTAAAGATTCGAGCAGGAAGTCTGTACTCAAACCTCGGGGTTTCAGCTCTGAGATCTATGACGGGTATATGTTGTGTATGTGTGCCAAGGGGAGTGGTATATTTTAGACGGGGTTATAGGAAGACTTGTTTATTTCGTGGGTATATCGTAACGGGTATAATCAGGCTATCCACCATCCACCGTCTTTTTTTTTCATGTACACAGGGCGTGGGCAAACAGTTCAAAGCACTATATCACCATCTCGCCCTGTTCCTCGTCCCCAACACCAGCCTCATCGCCTGGATCCCCTTCCTCATCCAAATCTTCGAGAGGATACGTTAATATAGCAGCGACATTACCCAGTCCCTCCAACCTCTTGCCACTCTCGTGTAATGAGCTAAGAACCCTTACCTCACCACCTTCCACGTCTCGTACTTGGTCAACCAGCTTGACCCATCTCCTTCGCTCCTTTACGTTTTGCGCACGGAAAAGTACATTGTTGATTAGAAGCACGCCGCCGCCTCTCCCGACAGCTCCCTTGGCAACTGCACGTTCCACCTCGCGGGGACCGTACCATGCGCGGCCATCGTCGAGGCGCATGAGTGTGTTGAATTTGTCCATGAGGGCCGTCTCACGGGCGAATTTGGTGTCGGAGAGTTTTGCGGTAATGGCTGGAGAGGAAAGGACCTCGTTTAGAGAATGTATATGGGCTGACGAGGAATGCGCGACGATGATGGAGGGTATTAAAGCCATTAGCGGCTTGTTTGTTGTTCTTGTTGCTTCTTCTTTGATGTACTGAAGAAAGGCTGTGGCGACGAAGCCGGGGCTGGCGAGGAGCAAGGGAAGTGTTTTGCCTTGTGTCGAGTTTGAAGCATTTGGGAGGTCGATTTGGCGGAGGAGCGTAGAGAGGGTGGTGGAAAAGAAGCGCTCCATGCCTTTGCTGTGGCCATCGACGCCACCCCTGCGTTTCCTGGGCACAGGTACTTCGACCTTCTGGCGCAGAATAGTCTGGTGTTCTGTAATCATGCATATGTTTGCGACGCCTTCGCCCAGCACGACTGCCCATAGCTCTGCGCGTTTCGAGGCGTCGCATGCCTCCTTGAGCTGCTCAAGAGCGATGCTGTCCCAACCATCTGCCTTTTCTATTGTGAACTTGCGGTTGAGCTCCAGGTCCAGCGTGTGGTGCTGCCCCAGCTTGACGTGCTCATTTTCCTTTGCGACGCGGCCAGACACATGCAGCTGTTCGGAGCCAATATCAAAGTCGGTCGAGGTAACGGTGATGGTGAGGTCAAGGGTAATGCGCTGCGACGAGGTGGAGCCGGCATCAGATGTCTTTGAGACACGGCGCACTGCTTTCGCGCGGATCTGGTCGTGCTCCTGGATGAGGTTGTAGGCATGCCACATATCCTCAGGTTCCTCAGGCAGCAGCGTGGCGAAGCCGGCGCCTGTCTTGTGTTCAATCTGGCTCTTGAGCAGCTTCATGGCGGAGCAGTGCACCAGGCGGCTCTGGTGTGTTGCTGCAGTGATGTATGGCAGCGCACATACATGGAGTATGGTGGAGTTAACTTTTGCCTGGTAATGACGCAACCATGGATGGAGGGGCGATCGTAGCCCCCACGCCTGACCCTGAGCGTGGGGGCTCGAGACCAACCCTGATAAAGTTTGTACCTCGCATCCTGCATCAGCCCTTCTTTGGTCCCCTCATGCTTACATACATATGTATGCACATGTAAGTATAGTCAGGACGCTAACACGATACTTTCGCATCAACGGAAATACACGCCCCGCGCCTGATACGGGCACTCTGTCTAAACGACCACTCACCACCCTAGACGCGTATAAGCGGAAATTCCAAGACCGAACGCAAGGATTGCATTATGTTGCTTACAAGCTCTTCGCAAATAGTGTGTGACATACTTATATATCGAGCACCTTGGCAGCATCATTCAGGTCACACCACCGTCAGGTCAACAAATTAAAATACGCTGCATGAGTGCAATTACAAAAAACCTATTTACAAGAATTCCGCAAACTCAAATCCACTCCACCTGCTTTACCTTTCCTACCTCGCCTTGATGATATCCGCAGCCTTCTCACCAATACCATACATGGTGGCCTGGAGATGGCAAGATGGGATGAGGGGGATGATTGAAGCATCGACAACAGACAAGTGCTGAGTTCCATACACGAGCAGCTTGTCGCTGACACAGCCACCATCCTTCTCAGCCATCATGGAGCAAGTACCCGCAGGGTGAACAAGGGAAGGTTGAAGCATGGATTGCTTGAGGAGAGCGTCGAAAATCTCCTTGTCCGTCTTGAACTGCGCACCAGGAACTGTCTCGCTGATCTTGTAGCTCTTGAGCTCGGGGCGCGCCCACACGCTACGGAAAAAGCGGAGACCGATCGACATGATCAGACGGTCCACAGGGTTCACAAAGGCATTGAATGCAACATCGGGAGCTCCGTTGGGGTTCTTGGCATTGATGGTGATGCTACCACGCGAGAGGGGCTTCTCAATACCGATAAGGGCGTAGCTACCATCGGCAGCCAGTGTCATTTCAGTAGCGGCTGCGTCCTTACGTGCAAGCAAGTTGGCAAGAACCTTGCGCTGCTTTGCATATCCCGCCGCGAGCTTGGAGTTCTTCTTATAGATGCTGGGAAGGAAGTCGGTAGCCTTCTGACCGTTCACCATGTCGATGAGGGCCTGGGTGTTGTTGGTAGTGTCAGAAAGGGGGATGAAGGCAAGTGCGTTGCCACGAGCATACGTGTAGGGACCCGTCTTGTACTGCTCGTACTCCTTCCAGGCAGAAGCGTTGAAAGTAGCATTGGTGTTTAGTGACTGGAGGTTAGGGAAGAAGTTGGACGTTGTGTTGAAGATGGCTGTGGCGTATGGGTGGTCCTGGAAGTTGGCGCCTACGGAATCGAGCTCAACCCTGGTCTTGATGCCCGCAGCTTGCAACACAGCTCTGGGACCAACACCACTAAGCTGGAGAATCTTTGGAGTTTGGATAGCACCGGCAGCAAGGATGACCTCCTTTTTGGCGTAGAAGCAAGTAGTCTTGCCTGTCTTGTCGGTCACCTCGACACCTTGGGCCATGGGCTTTGGTCGGTCATCGAGGATGACCCTCTTGGCAGTGGCGCCCGTGATGATGTGCAGGTTACGGCGCCTCTGGATGGGGTCGTAGTATGCATAACGCGCGTGGGCACGACGTCCAGTGGTCGCGTCCATGGTATTGGGGTACCAAGAAACACCATAAGCCTCCCCAGCATTTCCGTCGACTGGCACATGAACACCACTAGCCTTCCATGCTGCCCAGTAAGCCTTAATATCTTGATACTGGGTTGATGTGATGGAGACAGTGAGCGGTCCATGGCCGTAGGTCGAGGGGTCAAAGGTGATGTTGAAGTCACGGATAGTCTTTTCAGAAGGAGGCTGGAAGGTAGTGCCCTTGATGAAGTATGGCTCCATTCCCTCCCAGCCCCAACCCTTGTTACCAAGGGCCTCCCACGCATCATAATCAGCAGCAGCACCACGGTCATACACCATGCCGTTGATGACTGAACCGCCACCCAGGACCTTTGCTGCTATAACTGGGAATGAGCCATTGCCAAGACCAGGTTCCGCCACCGACGTGTAGTTCTCCCAAATCAGCCCGTTGGCAGAGGTGAGATCATTGGCCTTCCATGGAATCTTGGTCGAGGGCGTGTCAACATTGTCACCAGCCTCAATGACAAGAACAGTCTCTATTTCGCGAGTGTGAGCAGGTATATGTTTATCGTGCTCTGGTGGGATACATACTGCGCGAGTCTTCACTAAGACGGTTGGCTACAATCAAGCCAGTGACACCTCCACCAACAATGACATAGTCGTATTGTTGGTTGTATGCCGCACCAAGAACGGGCGACACAAAGACAGCAACGAGCTGGACAGCGACAGCCAAGCGTGAGAAAGCAGGCATCTTGACGCACAAAAATGAAGATTAGTCTATTAACGAATGTACGTATGGGTCGGTCTGGTGTGGTACTTCAAGAATGTGCAGGCAATATATGCTTTATACGGGCCGAACTGTTCGCTGAATCGTTGCTTGCATAGGTCGAGAGCTCGTCCGCCACGTGGGAAATGGTGGGTGCGGCCTTATCCCTCCGACATAGAAAATACTTATTTGGACGACTCGCTAAGCCAGGGAGATAATGCTTAATTGATGCATTGGGTGCAGCCATGCTTGACTGCATGTACCTATTCGTTCTAGAGGAACAGAATGGGGTGATGTGAAAGGGGACGTCTCAATAGATGTGATCCTACAGCCGGACATGCAAAGCGTACGTGCCCCTGGCTGCACCGTGACGCTTTGGGAGGCCTGTCAGGCACCGGTGGGACCCGGTCCACGGAACCAAGGGCAATTCAATTCTTACCAAAGGATGGGTTTCAGTGGATAGATACTGCGGCCTATGCACCCAATGGAGGGATCTTCGGCAGTAGAAGCGGTAGGCACTGAAGGCGAGCCTGCATGTTCTGGCCAATCTTACTTTCGCCAACTAGTGCGCCACCCCCGCTACAGACTGGGTCCAAGGAAGAAACTTCAGTTTCGAACGATGATGCGCTTGGGTTTAAGCGACATGTGAGGCTCCCGTAGCAACGGCAGAGGCGTCCACAACGGCGGCTGAGGCGCCACAAACAACATTGCCATGTATGCGTATGGGAAACAGGTTATTAAATAATGGCCATGGGAAGCCAGTAGTGCGTGTCGGAGATTTTACGCAGAATAGCTGCAGATTGCATGTCAACCTTGGATACAGCTAGGTGCTACAGGAATACTTTTCGCTGCGTAATCCTCGTCTGCCGTGTGTGGTTAAGGCGCTCGGCAAGCTAATGTGCCGATTCGTCCATGTGGTATGTAATGTCACTTGGATCCTTAGGGCTGGTCGCCTTTCCAGTAGTAACTGTTGCCAGTTGGCCGGATCAACAACGCCGCGTGTCCCCTGTAATCTACAATACATCCCTACTTACACGGGCAACCCACGCGACCCTGATGCGAACGTGTATGGCCTGTATGCACGTGTGCACCTTCAAGTGGTGGTTGCCACAACCACGCATTCACCAAAAGGAACACGGGCCGTCTCCAAGATTAGAGGATAGTCTCGGTATTGAATCGGCAGGGCAAATATGGGGGGCGGTCACCCAATGGCTGTGTGGCCGGCAGTGGTCCGCCTCAGCTTATTTTGCCGTGCCGTCTTCTTCTCACCCTGAGGTTTTGCATAGACTCAGCTAGCTTCGGACGTTGATGCTAACTGCGGATGGTGGACGTGAGAATAGGCTGAGTGAGTGGGGGGTGTTTTTTTTGGGGGGGAGGGGGGGTGTTGCGATACCATGAGCTGATGGGCTTCTGGCTTCTAGCTTCATGATGCTTCTATACGCGGATAGACTTGACAAGGTGAGGTTCGCTTGGGGATGCCGGAAGATGGAATGGACAGCAGAAGCAATATTGTGGCGTCTTCTCCAAGGCGTTAGGAGAAAAGAGGGAGACGGAAACGACGCGGAGTTTTGTGTGGTGGCTTTGGCTACGGAATAAAGCGGCCGTAGCGGACGCTAACGAGGCTGACCCCACTAGCGTCCTATGGCTCTCCCGCTCCCATCGTGCCATCTCATCGTGCGACGAGTCGTAAAGGCATCCGCACCACCGCGAACCATGGATTTGTGCCTGATTTGCCCGCATACGCTCTGTGCCGACCGCCTGGTAAACACTGCTGTCTGTAAACCACGTTGCACCACTGTTGCGCATTGTGTCATGCATCAATGACAGGACTTGGTCTACGACATCCGCTGTCTCTGTCATGGAAATCCCACCTACACAGTGACATGATTCCCCCGTTTCCGTACATGTGATGACCCGTCTGCTATGCATTCTCTTGATTCATGGATACTCGACCACCCTGGACCCCTTCTCCAATTGGACCGGCTTGCAGTGCGCATGGTCTCGTTTATGCACAAACACAGCCTGGGTCAGCTCATTAGCTTTGATGTAAGGATGCGTATGTATCGCAAAGCTCCGAGCCGGCTCGTTTCGAGAACCGCTCTGGAGCGCTTGTACGGGCCTTCTATGATCGATCTGGCCCTTCCACCCGCCTCTGCAGCTGGTCGACTTTGGACTCACGCTTTGCTCAGTCGGACGCGGTGCGGCCAACATACTAACAGAGTTGGGCCTGAATCCAAGTACACGTACATGATATATCCTTACGTACACCACAGACTCCGAATGGACGTTTCTGCCTTTTCTTTTTCTTCTTGATTCCGACCGTCCCACCCCGGCACGATATGGATCCAGTCACCCAGCAATGGCCCAATCGGCGGCTCGAAGTCCTGATACCAATGTGGTCGATGTCGCTGATCGCTACCGTGTTTCTTGTATGGAGAATCATCTACGGCTTTTCTCGATCTCGCAGATTCATGACTAGTGATTATCTGTTGATCGTCGCAGGTGTAAGTCTTACTTTTCAGCCCTACACCTGTTCCCACGGCAGTTCACAGTTCTAACCTGAACCCTTGCAGGCTCTCAATATCACTGCAACATCCTTTACCCAGGTTATCACAGACAATGGACTGGGTCGCCATATTATGGACCCTACTGTCTTGCCTAATATCTTGAGATATAGCCACTATCTATGGATCACTCAGATCGTCAGTACGTTTGTCAAGACATTCATCATAAACGTATATGCTGACTGTGTTCGCAGACATCATTGCTGTGGCATTTTTGAAGTGGTCCATTTGTGCATGGCTGCTCATCCTCAACTTTTCTAGGATCTACCAAGTCATTATCTGGGCGTCCATCCTGATGGTCACAGCCCTGAACTTCTTGGCCCCTGTCTTTACATTGTTTGGATGCACACCATTGGAGAAGAACTGGAACTTTGGATATAAAGGAGAGAGTCACTGCTGGGCCAAAGGCACTCTCCCACAGTCCTACGCCCAGGGCATCAGTAATATTATTACTGATGTTGTTTACATGGCTGCACCTCTGATCTATCTATCACACGTGCAACTGAACCGACGAACTCAGTGGGGGATTCGTATTGTTTTTCTGCTCAGTATCCCGTAAGTCCAAACACGTCAAAAACTACTAGAATCCCCTCCAATTAACACTTAATCTCCTCTCAGCGCCACAATATGCTCCATCTTCAAGACTATTGAGCTCAAAACCATCGTCTCAACCAGAGATCCAACATGGGACGGAGTACCATTGACCGTCTGGTCCGGCGCCGAACTCTCCCTCGGCATCATAATCGCATCGCTCCCACCTCTTCGCAAAGCCTTTGATCACTTCTTCTCCAAGATTCTCCCATCGACCCTGACTGGCTCAGGCAGGACCCCAGCCTACGGGTACGGCGGCCACTCTACCATCGGAGGTGGCGCCGCAGGAAGCAACGGCATCCCCTTGAAGAACTTCCAAGGCAGCAAAGCCTACCATTCGCGTATTCCCGGCGAAAGCGTCCTCGACGACGAAAGCGACCGCGCCATCCTCACCGACGAAGAAGAACATAAGGGCCCCGGTATCATGAAGAGTATGGACGTCGAAGTGCGAATCAGCGAACATGGTCCCCCCTCAGGACTGCACCCCGCCAGCGAGAGCAGCAGATCAAGCGGCGACGCACCGCCCATCACGAAAACTTTTGAGTCCCCACAAATCGACTGGTCGAGCCCGCACATTGAGAGCGGAAGCGGCGGTCCTGGTCCTCGCGTACGATGAACGAAAAACAAACCCCCTATCTATATACCCCCATTTTCATCATTTTGACTTCTGTCACGTTTTATATACCAATTTTTCTTTTCTATCCTGGGATGGGTGTCCGCGCGCCCCCTCCCTTTCTAAGGAGGAGGGAGCTGGAAAAATAAAGAAAAACAGGGTAATGGATGTGTACGTAAAGGCATCTACGGGGACCTATCCTTTTGTGTATAACCTGCATTTCTTTTGTTCTTGTTCTCAAAATATCTATTGGATATTATCATGATTCTGGTCAGAGAGAAAAATAAAACAGAGATGAAAACGCAGAAGCTGGTGTTTTTGCAGATTTTGGATACCCCCCCTTCCCATTTTTTTTCTTTTGGTTTGACAGGATAGCAGTGGTGGAATTGAAAAGACGTCAAGGACATATGGTAATACTTAGTTGTATTGAAAGTCATATAACTAGCTGTTTTTCGCTACTTCTTTGGCAGACATCCACACGCATGCTATGAATCCATCCATTTCTATCGTAACATACAGTACAACATTGCGCCATGAAGTTCGACCTGCAGCGCCAAATTCCAGACTGCAGTTGTAGTGACATACAGAGAAGCGAATACGATGGGGGCTTGGCGGGAGACTATGTAACTAGGTTCGCTACACCATGTTGGTCCCTAATAGCCACGTCTGCCTAGTATAGGAATTCTTCCTTGGCTTTGTAACACTGTCAAAGCGCCGACTATCACTTAAGCCGGACCGGGCTCGGAGTAGAACGCCGACACCGTATCGCATATTCGACCTGTAACCCGGTGGCTGTAAACTTTCTTTATTATTTAAGGTTATTCGCAGCAGTCAGCAGTATTCCGAGTGGCGGCTTACTACCCAGGGGAACATGGTCCAATGAAGAAGTAAATAGCGCATGCGATAACAGAGACGGGTTAATATTAAGGGGTTGTTGATACGTGAACCAGATAAGACCGTTATTATCGTCATATATGTTGTAGCAGATTTTGTGCGTGATAAGTATAAATATTTGCATATAGCATCTACCTCGTATCTTCGTGAACATTAGGTCGTTTCTATAAGAGCCGTGTTAATCATTTAGGCATCAACATCGCATCATGTGAATGAAAAAAAATAGAGGGCAGCCCGACAAATAGTGCCCTAGCCCAAAGTCGTAGTGGTGAGGCGACTCCAAAAGTTTATGTAGGTTCGCTACCACGGTGCTGGTTCTGGCGTTGGAGGCGGCCGTATTCGCTACTACACAAGAGACGGTGACAGACGGCAAGATCATGGTTCGCGAATCTCAATCATCGTGTTCCCCCTCTTTATACCAGGCTCTACCTTTTCTGACTCTTGGCTCTCATCGTCGACCAAAGTCCCCATCCGCATCAGTCCGCTCTGTCGCCCTTCGCCCATTCTTTGTACCATGCGTTGAATATTAGGGTGGCTAGGCTGTGGTCTTCCACCCGACAATCTCCTTGGTACTGCATAATTTGCACCCAACCTCGTGCGCATAGCCTCTTGTGTAGACAGCGTACGATTGACATGACCGCGTGGAGATACGTTCTCATCGTCTAGGAGTTTCTTTTTGTCCTTTTTGGGTGAGATGAAGCGCCAGAGCTCTTTGGTCTTTTGCGCCCAGATGCTGTAGCCATATTTGGTGGAAAGAAAACCGATGATACTGAAGAAGGGTATACATATGGCGACGAGGACCACTGCAAAGTTTGTGAAACCCGCTTTCTCAGGCATGTTTGTCATGCCGAAAATGGAGGTGACAAAAGTAAGGGGCTGTCAGGGATGTCAGTAAGCTTTCTTTGCTATTTTAACACACTCTACACCCTGATGCTTTTCTAGACTTACCATGAAGAACAAGTTGACAATGGTAAGGACTTTGATGTTGTAGCCTTGGTGCACGGTAACATCTGCTAATTCCACAGACTTCCGGGACTCTTGGATACTCGTACCTGAGAAGAGTTGTTCCTGCAGCGTCTCAATTTCATGTCTTCTTTCATTATTCTCTGCTATGATTGTCCGAAGCTCCTTCATTTCTCGCTCAAACTGCAATCTTAGTAAGCGCAGGCGACGTCTCCAATGTTCGTTCCGCGGAGATTCTTCAAACAGCGGCCACAACATCTTATTCCTTCCCTCCCAGATATCTTCAGTAAAGGTATCCTCAAAAGCATCGATCATGGATTTGATGCTATTGTTGACACTGCCCAGGGTCTGGTGGGCGTAGAAATACCGGCGTGTCCAGGTAAAATCCTTATCTTCGAAAAGCCGATTTTGCCGCAATTTCTCGTCAAACAAGAAGCCTAGCGGGGGAGTAACGAGCTCGGTGATGCGCTTGTATATCTCGTCGTATCTCTTTCTCGCATCTCGGTACTCGGTCAAAAGAGAATGCAGAAAAGCCTCCGCGCCGTTGAGAAACTTGTGACCACTCTCAAACGTATAGGGGGTTCCTTGCGTTGGCTGTGATTTCCAGTCGGGAAAACACTCCAATTGGAGGACTTGGTACGGTGACCAGATGTCATGGACCCATCCGAAACGGGTTTTGGCACGTCTTGCCCGATTACGGATGCGGCGAGGGTTCTCATCATGAAGGACTAGTGCAACGATGGCGCTGCATCGGGCCAAGGGAATGTGGTGTTCGGAATCACCACTTGTCTTGTCAGCGAGCTGCCATTGCATCGGTTTGCACTCCTCTCCAACAATTGTGTAATACTCAAAATTGAAGAAGAAAGTGTTTTGGTGCTTAGGGTCCTCATCAAAAGCCCTGAACATATGCGCAGAAGACGCGTCCGTCTCAACGAGTTTTTGGAAAAGCTCGTCCATATCGAAGGCTTTGTGCAGAGTTAGATGTAGGGCGCCGAATAGAATGGGCGAAGGTTCGCGCGCAATGGTGATGCGCCCTACCACAACTTCGTCATCATGTTTGTGGATTTCCTTGAGTGATTCCCAGATTTGATGTGCATTGGACATGTCGTTATCGGGACTAGCAGCCTCGATTAGTTTCGGGACACCATTCTGGCCGACGCTGTAGACTTGAAAATGAGAGT